AACTGTGGTTATGTGAGTAGTGACCGTCAGGGGCCTTAATTACTGAGTGGATATTTGCCTTCATATGCAGATTCAGACCAAGAGGATGTTTACTCAGTGAGTCACCCTGTACGCCTTGCACATAATGTCATCATGGCTATATCATCCCGTGACTTACTGCAAAGTTTCTCGAACACCTGGATCTTCTTGCTCACTCCAAATGAGCAGGAACCCTAGCGGTCATCCACTACTTACATAAACACTGTTACATTTGTACATAGTGTTATGTTTTGTTATCTCCTAACTTAGTGAGTGGATTACTTTTGCCCATGCTGTCCCTAGGAGTGCAAAGTTTGTGATGTGGAACAGAACAGCTAGCATCAGGTCTGATGACTCTGTCACATTGACATTATTAAATCAAGAAGTGCAGGTCATAGACCATGTGATTGCTGATGGACTTAATAAAATAAATCATAAGAGCACTTCCAGCAGGAAAGCCGGGTTTGGCCTCCATGTCACATTCACATTGTCTTGACCTAAATGGAGATACAGTGGGCTGACAGTTAATGCGTATAGCTTATATGCATGCTTCGCTTGGGCACAGCAAGCAAAAACACGTTTTCAGTGACAGCCACTTGAGAGTGGCTTGCGCGCCAAGGGTTCAAATGGAGCGGTGCACATGTAGTCCAGCACCTTGGGGAGCTCCCAGGGCAGTGGCCAGGATGAGCGAAAGGAGAAGCAGAGGAGATCTCCCCATCTCTGGTAGCTCCTGCAGGAATGAAAGAAACTGTCTGCACAAAAGCTGATCTACTGTATTATTCTTTCTTTAGGCTTTTTTTTCCCGCCCACAAAACCCTAACACCTGTCCTCATATAAGCCATGGGTAAAGTAGCTCTAGCATTCATGATTCATAATTATATTTCTCAGACATCACCATAATCTGAGGTGACCCAGCTGGAGAAACTCCGTTTGTGGACGCCTTACCTGGCTACGCAGCTGGCCAAGAGGGAACTGACTTCCTGGGAGAGTGGTAATGCATTAACTGTTGTGGACAACAGTAACCTTGAAAGGAACTGAGAGAACTGCAGCCTGTAGCTTGCCAACATGATGTATAAGACCCATTGGTCTGTAACTGTCCTTTTCCAATAGGCCAAATGTTGGGCTGACAGCAGCACCATAACTGGCTAAGGACCGTCAGTGATGGCCAATAGAGTTTGTGCTACAGTCACAGGGGTGGCATGCTGTGAATTTGGAAGCACAGGCAGGTGGCCATCCTGGTACTTAGAACCTGGCGATATGATACATACCACAATACAGAGGTTACGATTCAATATATTGCAATATATTGTGATACTGTAAGCAATGCATTTAATTGCAATTTCTTCAATCACCAGCTTCAGTTCAAATTCCACCGTAAATAGTGCAGCAGTTATTATTACAATGGCGCTGCACAGCGTCCAAAATTTGAAACCATTGTTTTTAACACAGGTATGCACGCTGACACCGACACAACATCCTGTAGCGTGCCGGTGCTCCATGACTCCAAGCACTGTTCAATTTTTTTAGCGTGTCACAGCGCACAATGCAAAATTTTGCCATTACTACATTAAATTAAAGCCATACTGACACCAGAGGAGGCCACAGTAGATCACTTGTGGCTTGAAATTTACACAGAGGAAGGCAACCAGTGTTTAATGTAAACAAACAGATGCTAATGGTAAGTTTAAGTTACCTCAGGTAACTCAGCTACTGTCGGAGCCTTTTTCAGCTCAAAAACAGCCAGTCTCTGGAGAGGTTGTCACAGATGCCAAGCATGTAAAAGAGTAACTACACCCTAAGACCTTTTTTTTTCTTTAACAGCTGAAATGCATTGCTCTGTAAGAATAAAATATGCCAGCCTTGCTCTAAAATTAGAACACATCTCTCCAAACTGTAAAAATATATTTTTATCGTGGTCAGTTCCGCCTCTGCAGCGCCCCTATGGTTCAACTCTGCTATAGGCGCGGATGATGTCATCGCACCACAGTATGCAAATCAGTCAACCAAAGTTACCACCTGATGACTAGAGAGGGTACTGTCTCTTCGCATGTAGCTTTTTATCCAGTGTTCTAGTTATTATTGTTAGTTCTGAGTTATTGTGTTTGTAGATATTACAGTTTTAGCCTTTTAGTCTTAGCTAGGTTACTTTAGCTAGGCAGTTAGCTAGCTATATTTACTGTCTAGTCTTTCAAATTTAGTCAGTCATTCAAGTTTAGTTGAATGAGGGGAGCTTCGCCAGCTTTATGGAGGTGAAACTGTGTTATCTGCCTGAACAACGTCTTCACCTGAAGCCTGCTGTCGTTCCTTCATCTGCAGAGCACCTAACATTTTTGGCTAGGGTAAGTTAAATGCTATGTTTTACTACAGAGCATTTCACCTAAGTTAAGCACGTTGTCAAATGTCTGTTTAAAACTGAAGGAAGTGCTTTAATTATAATATAACGCAATATGTGGATGATGCCGTGTGATTTACATTTCAAGTAATTTTGTGGTCGGGAATTTAAACTAAACAGTCTAAAAATGAAGAAGAAAATGAACTAGCGATAGCCTACCTTAGCTATAATCTGCATTTGCACCACACCATGCCGGCCAAGACAATGAGCCTTTCAGTGCAAGATACAGTCGCTGGACTGGAAAACATTTATGAAGTTCACAGCACCCGCAATCATCCTAGAGTTCTGCAAGCCATTGTGTACCACTGTGTTCCAGCTCCAGTCCTGGAGCCCTCACTGCTCATTGTTATATGTTTAAAGAAATACACTATTTGTTTGAAATTCAGGACATCTAAGAAATCAGGACTTGGGTTTTGCTGAATGTGTATCTTGCTGAACAGATCATTAGAAGCTACTTATCACGGTTTTAGTGAATTTCCTACCATTCAGATGCCTCTCTCGCTGCTAATGATTTTCTGAGGTTAACTCTTTGGTGGCTTGAGTCAGTGGTTCAAAGCGGTAAGGCTAAAGACATCCTGCTTGATCAGAAACGCCTTCCCCCATCGAAGAAATCATCAACCTTGTACGACCTCTTAGTCCTAAAGTGCTATTTGATTTTGTCACTTTCCATACTTTCTGGTAGCTAAAACACAGCAGCCCAGCTCACCCAGTTTCCCTCCCAGCCCCACATCCAAACCCATAGATCGCTGCAGTGCCCCACCCAAAGTGTCCCTCCCATTTTTGAGCATTTTTCAAATATGAGCTAGGAGTGAAGTTAGCTGAAAGTAGGGGGTGTACTTATCTTTAAGTGATGCTGAAAACTTGTTCATTCAATTTATCTGAATAAAAATGAACTTAATAAAAACACCTGAACCTGGTATTTTTGGGATCTCCATGCTATCATTCTATAGGAGCACGCTGCTATGCGACACGGTGTGTCTGGTGTGAGAGAATGTAATCTAAGGTACCATTTAAGGTAGAACTGGAAATTTCAAACAAAAAGCTGGCAAATGAGAAGCTGACTTGAGTCTGTCTAAATCTCCTTATCAGAAAATTTTACCAGCATTAAAAGAATAATCAGAATATTTTGATAGCCTAAATCACCGTCTCAGAGGGATAAATAGTAATATTAAACTGGACAATACAACAGACTGTACAATGGACTTTAAATAATGATATGGACATGCTCACTCAATATGTACTACAAAGTTTTAGAACAGGAGTGCAAGTCCTTCAGGTTCAGCCATCGGTATCAGTGGTATTACTACTCATCTACGTTTGCTAATGGTAAAATGAGTGCTGCGCCCCCTGGCTGAGAAAAGCCTTTCAGATATTCCATGTCCCACACCAGAGTAGAAAGCACATCCGCAGCTCCATCCACTGTAAAATCCCCTTGTTACTAAATTCTTTGAAAAAGGTCCCTCCATTTAGTTAGTACAGTGGACCATTTTTTCCTATGCAGTGTCTGCCCCACTCCATCTAGGAACCACTTGGCTGTTTCCCTAGCAAAGCATGGCATGGCTTGCAGCGCAGCTCCACTCCTGGCTTCCAGGCCTGCTTGCCTCTCTTGGCTGCAGGTTAAGACCAGTTTATGTATGATTTCACTAGCATCTACCCCGAGGCACAAAGGGCATAAGTCGTAGCCATTATTCTGAGGGACTCTGTGGAGCCACCCAGGTAATACATGCTGTTCAACCGGTACAAACTCCCAGCATCATGCTAGCCATAGCATGCTAACTCGCTGTATTGCAAAGCACCTTCAATTCCGATGCGAGAGCTTGAAGCCTCCGCTAGTGCAGTGACTAAGCTTGAGCGAGCTCCCCAACACCGAGCTTGCTCAAGGTCATGGGAGAACTGTACTCCTCAGAGGTCCATACCTACAACAAGATGTTCAAGGTGTGGTTGGACAAGGAGTTGATGACAAGAGCCTGTAGAGGATGAAGGAGCCGGGGCTTTTGGAACCTGAGATACTTACCTGAAGGCTCCGCTAGCCCCGTGGCAAAGCTCTTTCCCCAACACTGAGCCCACTCAAGGTGAAGCAACAGCTGCAATTATCAATGACCCACGGAGGACAAAAATCGAAGCTCTAAAACTATGAAGCTGGGCTGCATGGTTGGCCTGATGGCAAGAAGTGAAAAATCCCATTTGCAGTGAGTCACAGGATGATAGAGCCTTAGTGACATCACGTGCAGGGGTCACAGGGTGTATACATTTATATCTACCTCATTACATTTGTATACAGGGCTCACTTGGTATACATTTTCTTGGTGTGAAGCTGCGCATGCAAGAGATACAAAACATAAGTAATTGGCAAAAAAAGTTTCAAGCGAATGGTTGACTGTCATTCCTCATTTATGTGTAGCTTTTCTAGTCATTTTTGAGTCCTTAGATGTGCAACCATTATCAAACCATCTGATGCTCTTTCTGTTATCACAACATCCATAAGACTGACTTTGACCGATTGTTGTGCATTATTTACTATGTTTTATGTCTATATGGATTGTTTCTAATTACAACAAAAAGAGTAAAATATAAACAGACAAACACTCACTGGATCGCTGTTTTCCTGATCAGACTCCTTCTCTCTCTCCTCCTCTTCCTCTTTTCCTCCTCGCCACACAATAGCCTCTGTCTCATATTCTTTCTGGCACATTTTATGTCTGTCTGACAGGCTAGCCCTCCTCACCACTTTTCTAAACATTTGCAAACACACACACACACACACACACAAACAGATGCACAAAAACACAAAATGTGCAGTTATGTAATAACTGTAGTTTATTAACATGCCTGTACATCCCATTTTCCAATAACAAACCATATATTAGTTCTTCGTTTAAGAAATGCTGTTCCCCTCTCTTACTGCAGCACGAGTAGTGTGTGTGTGTATTTGTGTGAACGTTCACTTGATGTCAGTGCATACCCACGGCTTCCTGCACTGCTTGTGCGGCGACACAGTGAGGTCTTGTGCTTCAGCTGTGACTTTAAGATGATGTCATGCTTGTGCTTTAAGTCCAGAAGATAATTCCTGAAGTCCTCATCTTCACAAAGGTCTAATAATGCAATAAGCATAAAAACTGTGTCTGATTTTTATGTTTGTTTGTATAATTTATAAGTGTGCTATTAAAAATAGATTGGAATAATCTATGTAACATATTTTAATAATACTTACCTGAACACTCCCCCTACTAGAATTTGAAAGCATATGGCTGTTAACTGGAGTAAAGGGGGAATTTTAGATGTTTTGATACCTATGGGTGTCTCCTCCATGTAGGTCTTGGCATTTAGACTGGCCCCATGAGACACCAACAGCTCAGCTACAAACATCTACAGAGCGAGAGAGAGAGAGAGAGAGAGAGAGACAGAGAGAGAATGTGTGTGTGACTTAGAGAGAGGTAAATATCAAGTCATTTTTTTTTTTTTTTAGAAAATGTGTAGACGTCTATATCTGTATGACTTGTAAGTGTGCTTGTTTGATGGTACCTGTCCCCAGCAGGCTGCAGCATGTAATGGTTGCCACCCGTCAGAATCTCTCAGGTCCATCTTGGCTCCTCCCTCCAGTAATAGCTCTGTTGCCTGCATATAACCATTAGCTGCCGCAACATGGAGCTAAAACAAAAAACAATCATATGCGAAACATTAACAACAAATCAACATACCTGAAAAATCTACCTGAAACATCTAGACATATGTTGATAAGTCTCATTAATAATGGCTGCATTTCACACTTTTACCATAACCTTACCATATTATATATAAGCACTAAAATACCTGGCTATGATTCATTTATAAATTTCTACAATTAGTATATGTGAATATGTCGGTGTGTGTTTGTGTGTGGGTGTAGTGCAGAAACACTGAAGCTACTAGTTTCTATCAATGGTAATTTATGTCAAACCAGATCTTCCTAATAGTTAGCAGTTGCATGGTTGCAGACTTGGTCTAACTCTGTTATAACTATGCTATTACTACAGAGAAATGCGGTTGTAATATGTGGTTTGACACTGTCTTGCTAAAATAAGCACTGCCTTACCGGAAAAAGACATTGTCTGGTCGGCAGTATATGTTGCTGCAAAACCTGTATATATCATTCAGCATTAATGGTTTCTACACAGATGTACTAGTCATCCATGCCATCACAGCTGGCTTTTCTGAGCTTATAACAAACTGAACAGACTATCTTCTCTTTAGCCTGGATGACATGGTGCCACGATTTCCAAAAGAAATTTCAAATTTTGATTTGCTAGACCACAGGACACTTTTCTACTTCACTTCAGGCTGTCTTAAATGAGCTTGGGACCAGAGAAGGTGGTGGTGATGGTTTCCAGCACAGAATCATGTCTGTTTTAATGCAGTGAGGCCTGAAGATCCAATACTGGTTTTTGGCCTTGTCCATTGCATAAAGATTTCTCCAGATTCTTTCAGAGTCTTTTAATGATTGTAAGTACCGCAGATGATGAAATCCTCAAGTTCTTTGCTGTTTTACATTTTTTATTACTAAATTGTTGCTCTATTTGCCCAGCAGTCTTTTCCAGAGTGGTGAACCCCTCCCCATCTTGACTTCTGAAAGACTCAGCGTCTGTGGGATGTTCTTTGTACACCCAATTACTGAACTGTTGTCAATTAGCATAATAAGTTGTGAGAGTTGTGTTTTTTTAGCATAACAAAACTTTACCAGTCTTTTGTTGCCCCTGCTCCAACTTTTTTGAAACAGGTTGCTGCCATCAAATTAAAAATTTGGCTTATATTGTTCGAAAAACCATAACATATATTAGTTTCAACATATGCTGCCTTTGCACTAGTTTCAATGAAATATTTTTTTGGAAACAGGGTTGTAAGTAATGAGGTTGAAATATCAAAAGTAGCGTGCAGCAAAAGTCACTTTACACTACCACAGCCAACTAGGTCCAAAACGTTTATAATATCAGCTTTTAAAATTTGACCTACAATATGAAAATATTGAAAATGAAAATACACAGTACACCTCTTGCTGAAATGAACACAGTTGAGCTATACATTAAGCAGTTTGAGCAGTATTAACTATAGCAATGATAAAAAAAAAAAGCTGTGTTATGGCATCATCAGCTTTGGCAGTTGAATTCAAACTGTGTCAAGAGACAAAAAACAATAGGAGAACAATAGGAGCAAAAAAAGAAATCTCCATAAATATATATATATATACACACACACACACACACACACACACACACATTATATATATATATATATATATATATTATATATATATATATATATATATATATATATATAATATATATCCTTTTCACTAAATTTGAGTCCAACTTCAGAAAAAAAGACAAATGAGATTAATCACGACTAACTACACAAAATAAGGTGATTAAAAATTAGTTTAATTGTTTGACAGCTTTAGAAAATATACATTTAACACAATTGTCAACAGATTGCGTTTTTGTTATCCGCAACAAGTACATACGTGAAAATACATCTGCCGAGTGTAGGTCAGGGGACAAACAATGAAATGAAAGACATAAGATATGCAAGACAGGAGTTCACCAAACCAAGAGCCTCCTTGCACCCTGGGCCGATGAAGTTTTCTAAGCCAAGCTTCTGCGTCTTTTTTAAAGACTTGCATCTGCAAAATTGTCAGGTTTGATGGAATACATAAAATTTAGCAACTTTCTGTGCCACAAGATAAATACTGTAAAGCCCACGACAGTATGTCTGTTTGAAGTTGTATTTTGCATTTAACGCTGAAGCTCTCTCTGGTGGCCAGAGAATACATTGCCATTACTGATTCTGTGGCCAAGATGTGAGTCAAATTTCCATATTTCCCACACAATTTTGGAAATTATTGCAAAGTTTTAGATGTTAATAAGATTATCTTTATTTCAATCATAGAAAGAAAAAATGACATTTAAGTAAATTTGTGTTAGATTTAGCATTTTAGAGACCCATGGAGACCAATTTAATCGACACTTTGCATGCCTCCTCAGGTGATTGTTTTGAGCAAAATTTCAAAATTTGGCTATAATCAGAGAAAGAATGATGACTTTGTAGTACATTGTCAGAAAAAAGCAAAGCCAAACAGAGTAATTGATGTCTCACGGCCATTCTTTGCAACAAAGTCAAGATTTTTGACAATTATTTACCGAAAGACTCATTGTCTGTTTCTGTGCTTTGCATGAAGTGATTTATGTTTACCCCCCAAAAAATCAATAAGACTTATTCTTGTTCATGTTGTATAGTGCCCCCTAATGGCCAATTGAGGTCAAACTTTATAGGCTAATAGAGAATGCCTATGTGGACACATTCAATTTCTGTGATGACTGGCCAATCCTAAGGTCTCCAAATGAGTGTTGAAATTTATTTGGCCAGTGGCGGGTATATCTGTCCAATGATTTAGGTGTCCTTAAGACCTTACTTATGTTGTGGCCCAATGCTGTGGCCCTTATCATCAGGTGAAGTTCCATCAACTTTCAAGACTGCATGAGTACTTCCCATCCTGAAGAAGCCCATGCTTGACAGCTCTGATGTCAACAACTACCAACCGGTATCACTCCTTTCTTTCCTTTCAAAAATTCTTGAATGTGCAGTCTACAATCAACTGTCTCTCTCTTTCTCATGCAGAACCAGCTCCAGGACCCCAAACAGTCTGGCTTCAAACCAGCGCACTCAACAGAAAATGCCCTTATAGCAGTGACCGAGAAGCTCCAGTCAGCAAGATCAGCCAAACTGTCATCTGTCCTGATTGTTCTTGACCTCTCAGCAGCTTTTGACACGGTCAACCATACAATACTTCTGGACGCCCTCACCAAACTTGGAATCACTGGCTCTGCGTGGAAGTGGTTCAAGTCCTATCTGGTTGGTTGCTCTTATCAGGTAACATGGAGAGGGTCCACATCCTCTCCACGCAGGCTCTCCACTCTGGTGTCCCGCAAGGCTCGGTGCTGGGTCCTCTTTTCTTTTCTCTTTACACTAGTTCTCTTGATGATGTGATATCCTCTCATGGCTTCTCTTATCACTGCTATGCTGATGACACTCAACTAATGCTTTCTTTCTCACCTTCTGACACATAGGTTTCCAGTCGCATCTCTTCATGGATGGCAGCTCACCACTTGAAGCTCAATCCTAGCAAGACTGAGCTGCTACTCATCCCTGCAACTACAGGTCCTTGTCATGATTTTGCCATCTCATTTGAGAACTCTCTGACTGTTCCATCTGAAGAGGCAAGAAGTCTTGGTGCGATTCTGGATGGCCAGTTACCATTCTCGGCTCATATCACGAACCTAACTCAGTCATGCAGGTTTCTCCTGTACAACATCCGGAGGATCCGACCCTTTCTCACTCGAGAGGCCACCCTGGTGCTAGTTCAGTCTCTTGTCATCTCAAGGCTTGACTACTGCAACTCGCTCTTGGCTGGTCTTCCTATGCAGGCCATCAAGCCTCTGCAACTCATCTAGAATGCAGCAGCATGGCTTGTCTTCAATCTTCATAAGTTCAGTCACATCACTCCACTGCCGCCCTCCCTTCACTGGCTTCCTGTAGCTGCATGCATGCAATGGCCAAAACTCGAACTGTACCACGAGCCCTTCGAGCTTCGAGTACAGCTCGGCTTGACCCGCGATCCTTCAAGATGCGTGGAAGAAAAGCATCAAGACTCTTCTCTGTACTGGCACCCAGGTGGTGGAATGAACTCCCACTGGCTGTCCAAACAGCAGAGTCTCTTGCAGGCTTCAACGCAGACTGAAGACACACCTCAGCACTTAAATGAGCACTGAGTTAAGTATTCATTGTAATGTACTGTACTGCACTTACTGAAATGTATTGCACTGCACTGTGTTTAACTCTGTGTTTCTACTCTCTAGGTGTCAACATGCACTTTTGTTTCTAGCAGTATCTGAGCTCAGGACTAGCTTTCTCTCTAACCTATTGGTAACTAGCAAAGATACTTTCTCAAGATAGACAAAGCACTTTTTTTAAGTCGCTCTGGATAAGAGCGTCTGCTAAATGCTGTAAATGTAAAATGTAAAATGATACAGCATACAAAGTTTCAGTTCAACTGACCAAGCGGTTGCTGAGAAACTGATTTTTTTTTGTTGTTTTAGCACCTGCTATTGAAATATCGGTATCAAACTTTGTGGGCTTCCAGAGAATCATGTGGGGTGTAGGCCTGTTAAGTTTCATGAAAACAGGTCAGAAGTGCTTAATTGACATGTGGTGGCCAAATTTTTTTTACTTATATCCTAATTCTTTTAATAAATCTTGAGCAGGAGACTCTCGTGAACATTTTGAGACCAATATAACTTGGACATGTTAAAAATTTCAGACTAGTAGAAAAATTCATGTTCCACATATTGTGCCAATTTTAATGCAGGGGTTTGGGGTGGAGCTATATAGTGACAGTGGGGTGTTTTTATGGACTTTTGGAAAGATTTAGATCCTGAAAGAATTTTAAATCTAGGGCTCACAGTTCAGGAGATATGGGCCAAAATATAAAATGTTCAGGCCAACTGGGCTCAATTTGTTTGTCTTAGTAGTGGGTACAAAACTACACCTACCCTCAGAGTTTGGTGTTTGGATGACTCGTGGTGTCTACCCTACAAACCTTTTTAGGGAAAAATAGAATT